AAAAAAGTCGAGTTTCTTTTTTTTTCTAGACGATTTATAATTGCTCAGTCCTTCGCGATAAGTTTAGTTTTTAGGCATCTCGAAAAGCGATCATAAAAGATTGATTTAGTGTCATATTAAGACACTTTTAAGAAACAAAAATCCTTTTAAGCACATGTAAAAAATCCTATACCCTTTTCAGACTAATTGATGGTGGGGGATTAGATGATTTTGCAGTCATCCGATTTGGTATACGATAGTTTTTTAACAATTATGCTAAAAATATTGGATTTTGACGCTTAGAAAAAATTTCTCTTCCTGCACTGAAACGAAGGGGAAATTAAATAGGAAATATATATATATATATATATATATATATATTTTTTTTTTTCATTTTTCATTTTTTAATGGCATTTCTCGCATTTTCTCCCAACAACTTCTCGCGTTGTATACTTTACTCTGATGATAAATAAATAGCTCATTGCAGCTTGGAAGGGTATTTGTAAAGCTGAAAGTTTTTGTATGACAAAAAGAAGCTGCGACTATAGTCTATCTCCTGAAAAATGATGTTCCACCAAAAACAATAAAAACATAAATAAAAGGTATTTTTTTAACCTGTGGTTCTTTCACCTTCACCTGTGTTTTTAAACTTCACAATTTTTTTTCACCAATGATTTTTCACCTGTGACTAGTTTTTGCAAAGTTCAAATGGTTTGAAACTGGGACTGATTTGACGGCTATAAATCAAGTTGGGATAAGTAAAGCATAATGTTTCCTCCTATTAAAGCAAAAATGGCAAATCAGTTCATTTCCAATAGAATTGATTGGAGCAATTTGCTCTTTTTAGTACGTTACCACGCACTTAAAAAATGTACTTTACCTATCAAGTGATGGAGGGGGATTGAAATTAAACAATGGAAACTTAAAAAGAATATAAATTTTCTCGAATAATTCAGAACATTTCAAATCATGTTATAAACCACCAAGACTCTTCGTATCAGGGTCAAGCTCTGAATGCTTCGACTAACTTTTGAGGTCTATGGAAAAGTACTAACATGAAAAAAAATGAATATAAAAAAATGATTTTTTGTAAAACCATCCCCCACACGCCATGTAAAAATTAAAATGATAAATTCGCTCGTAATAACAAATCATTTATGGCCAATAAGCTTCCTTTAACCAATTTGGAACAATTTTTTAAGACGGATTAAATCTCCGCTCTCGCGTTAATAGCGCGAAAAATATCGAGCGTCAATTGCCAAAATGGCAGCAATTTTTAAACCCCCATAACTTTCATAAGAATGATCACAGAAAAGAAACTTTTTCAAATTTCAACTCAGGACAGCAATACATTTTAAATTCAGTCATCAATGTTTAGTTAAAAGGTCGAAATTTGTTCGAAGAACAAAAAAGCCTCTCGAGCACAAATATTCGGTTACTTTCGTTACGAAAGTCTGAACAACAAGCTTTTAATAGCACAGAGGGCAGCAATCTGGAGACTCCATGATACGAGGATCTTATTGTTTTGATTGTCAAAAAAAGATGATTTATTTTTTTTATATAAGCCCACACGCAAAATATAACACAAAGTGATTTATTGTTACGACTTCCTAAATTAGTATGGAATATATATGCTCGTGATGATTTTATGTATGCAGACCAGCAAAAATTCCAAAATCAGTGAACATATTATTTGTCATGAAGGTACTCAGGGGGGGGGGGCGGTTTTTCAAAAAAATTTCGAAAATTTTGACGACCTTTTTTTTAGGTCGACCAAATTGATTTTTCGAGCTCTCCTAAACCACTAAAAAGACGCTGTTTTGGTCAAATTTTCTGTGCCGCAGGCCAATTTTAGAAAAAAGAGGTCAAAAAAAGAGGTCAATTTTAGAAAAAAGAGCTCAAAAAAGCCAATTTTAGAAAAAACGAGGTCAAAAAAGCCAATTTTGACAAAAAATTGCGTTTTTATGGCGCGCGCTCCCCTTAAAGTTAGTATATATTGGCGCCCAAGGCGCCCTAAGAAAAGTTTTAGGGTCGGTAGACCAAAAATGGATTTCTTAAAAAGTACCAAAGGCGGGACCTTTTGGGTCGGCAGCGGGTCGAATCCCTGAGGGAAAGAGGCATCCGCCCGACCCAATCCCGCGCCTCCCCCTAAAATCCGGTTGTACTTATGTTGATTGCATTTTACTTAGGTGCCAAAAATGCAAAGAGAATGATTTGCGAGCGGCAAATTGTCCCTCACGACAAAATCGTTCCAAATGGAATTGAGGCAATAAGCTAATTGCCCATATCATTTCCGTATATGATTAATTTTTATCTTATGAGCCTCGTGAATACTTCATTTAACGAAAGTAAATCGAGACCAGTTTAAAAAAGTAGGAACATTCAAAGGCTTTGCCCTGATTTACGAGCAGTCTTGTCTGTATATAGTCATGCTTTTTAAATTTTGGTTTTTATATGGTTTCGACAAGTTTGCCATTGTCAATATTGATTAATTAAATTGACTCGTACGCAAAACTTATGTGACTAATCAGGTTGAGACTAGGGGCTAGCAAGCCCTTTAGACATTGCGTTGTATGCCAGAAAATCGAAAAATATTGACGAATTTTAGATGGTTCGGAAAATAAGATACGTTTCAGTTCAAAATGATCGAGATTTGAAAAAAAACTTAGATTAGATTGATCAAAACTTTTGTCAGTGCCTGTTTTAAATCCAATTTTCAATTATTTTCAGTAAGTTAATCTATTATTAGCTAAATTAATTTTAAGATCAAGTTCAATTTTGGAGAAATCTAATCATTTTTGGTTAATAATTTGAATCAAGCCGGTTGAACTAGTTTTCAAGGGCAGCTTGCATGTTTTTCCTTTTGTTTCGCAAAAGTTTTCCCCAAAAAAGGCTTGGGTGTTTACCGACGCTATGATTCCGAATTCCTTTAAAGTAAGTTTCTTTTTGATTCCAACAATTGGTATTAAAAAGTGGCTGAACTGTAGTGGGAATGGTTAATTCTGGGTTATATGAGAGGGGGTAAAAAAGGGGGTTAAAAACGCGGGTTGATAAGCTTGGGAACCAGTCCTTACGATAAGTTTTTTTTGTAAATTATTGAGTATTTAAGTTTTGAGAGTGATAAGAGAATTTTAGAATCGGTTGAACTCATCTTATCAATTACATTTGCAACTAACATCTCTGAATTTACAAATAATTATTTCGATAACTTTGTTTTAGCAATGTAAATGCAGTTTTTTCTGTATTTTAGGGGCTCAGAGCCCACTGATCTCTCAGTTGAGTGTTATTCTCGAATTACACTTCAGTTTTCTTCATTTTGAAGTCATTCGTTATTAATTTACTATATCGATATACTAAAAAGTCACATTTTTGAGAGTCATCATTAATCTTTTTTTCGTCAAATATTTTTCAAAAGGCTTTCCCATTGCAGCTCAGAAGTAAGCGAAGACATTTTAATTTCGAAAAACTTCAAAGTCTCATCAGACATCAAAGAGATTACCAAAATTGTATTTCTTGTTTAGAATCGGGAGCTTAATTCTGACTCTAAGTCAATTGTACGTTCTTTTTTCATCGCGGTAGGATTGGTATTTCTTGGTGCCACTTTTTCTCGAGGCAATAATGATTTAATCACATCATAAATAAAGCGACTGACGTCAAGCATACAGTGTTGAAGTGAAAAAGATTGAGTTGTACATGTAATTAAGGCACACACCTGCCTCAAAGACGCCTTAACGAAAATAAACTAAAATAAACAAAAAATCCACGTACCAACTGAGGAATTATTCAAAAGCAACCAACAATAAAAACATTGCTCAAAACTGATAGACCTGGATTTTTAATAGAAAAAAAAAACAGAAGGGAATTTAATGACTCAGCCTTCAGTATTTTAATGAAAAACTATTGGCAAGAATAGAAATTTCACATATGAATAACTTTTAAGTTTGATGACGTACATTTTCGAAGTACCCATAAAAGTTTCATTTGAAACCCATCACCAAAAACATTTAAATCAAATTTAAGCAACAGGAAACAATCTTACCTTGTTTTTAGCAATGAGGAGCAGCGATATGATAGTCGATAGAGTTGCAATCGCACAAGCTAAACAGTTTTCTATGCACAACACAATCATCAAGGCTCGCAGGGTCTCCGCCTCATGCTCACAAGTAGGCAGGGGCTTCACATACTGCAACTGCTGCTGCTGGGGATTAAAGGCCGAGTGATGGTTGTCGTGGGTGGATCTGAAGGAGCTGAGAGACGAGGAGGACGATGTCTTGTTGGGCAGTTTGTTCACATCTAGGGATTCGTGAATGGCGGCGGCGTTGGAACTGGGCAGAAAGTAAGCACCGCAGCCGTCTACCATGAAGAAAAGTCAATTTTGGACACTTGAACGATGAACACTTTTGGACACTTGAACTTTCTGAGCACTCAAACTTGGTGCAATTTTCCAAAAATCTTTGAAAAAAAGCAAAAGCCAATTGGGATGATGGGACACAATAAATGATCTGCCTAAGCCAAATTACCTAATCCAACCGTTGGGGAAATTTACAATTTGAGCGCCTTCATTCGATAATTACAACAGAGTCGAGGCCAGTTTGAACATTGCTGCCCGCACTGAAGTCCCGCACTCAGTAAAAAGAGAAAACGATAGATTATATTGGATTTTTATTGTAAGTCTCCATAAAATTCCAAAAGAATTGATATAATCGATTAAAAATGTATTATAATGTTACTATTTTGCAACACAAAAATAATCATTATAACCGATTATAATCGATTTTTATTGATTATAATCTATTTTTTTATGAACGTTTTTTTTTCTCAAATTTTATTGAATTATAATACATTATAATGGATTATAATCCATTATTATTCAACAAACGTCATCGCTTCATTTCGTTTTAGTTTTGTTTTGTTTCGTGTGCTTTTCAGTTGGTTACCGAACGAAAAGAAACTGTAGTTTTGTACTTATGGCCACCAGCGGATTTAGGGATTCGACCCCCTGCCGACCCAAAAGGTCTCCACATTCCCCCCCCCCCACTATTTTGAGGTCACCCCACTATTTTTATATGTCCATTTTTGGCTTACTAGCCCTACAGTTTTTTTAACGGCGCCTAATATTTATTAATTTTGAGGGGGTGCTCGCCGGAAAAAAAACAATTTTTTGGTCTAATGTTTCCAAAAAGGGCCTAAAAACGCCTTTAAGCAAAGTAGTCTATTTTTATTTAATTCTGATCATTTATAATTGCGACTTTCGACAAATTTTTTTCGGCAAGTTCTTCTTTCATTAAGTTTTGCATGTTTAGCAGGTTTTTTAAACCTAATTGCAAGAAAGTTATTATATTTGTGTTTCAAGGACGTGTTTCGGGTCCAATCGAAGGTGGAGGCGAAGTCCGAAGAGGCTGCATCGGAATCTCAACAACAACCCGAGGCTACAACTGCACCTGTCTACAACAACAGCACCAGAAAAAAAGAAAGTAAAAGAGAAAAAAATCACAAAATGAAACCCTTGATTAGCTGAACAATTAGCTGTAAGCAATTTTCGGCAGAAAAAAAATTGATTTTCAGGGACTTCTGTAGCCTAAAAAAATCGATTATGCTGTCAAAATAATCGCTTATAATGGATTTTTAAACATTAAGAATAATCGATTATAACCTCCTAAAAATCCATTTTCATGGTTGGATGGGTCATAAAAATCGACTATACGGGTTAAAATTTGTGACGATTGAATCCATTATTATCAATTATTTCCCATGAAACTCCAGTGCGGATGGAACAAAAATATCAAAACTGCTCTTATCAGGGCAAAGCTTTGAATTTTCAGACTGTTTTTGAACATCTTTGAAATAGTTATTGCTTAAAAAAGACGGAATAATCAAGAAAGAACAATTTTATTATTTCTGCATTTTTCTAAATCTTACCAAGCGCTATGTGAAGCACAAAATAACGTATCAATTTGACCACATATCTTGCCTCCATCAAAAATGCTTTCTCAGTCTTATGAAATTTCCGCTTACCGTTTGTAGAACGAAAAATGTCGCGCGTAAGCTGCCACAAATCGACATCTTTGGTTAATTTATATTTTGCAAAATTGATTGTTTGAGAATTTTATAAGATTTTGAGCTCAATTTTTTTAGACTGTACAAAAAAGACAGCAAAAACTAGAAATTGGAAGTTTGTCTGGAAAAAAATACCCGAGCTGAATATTCAATCATTTCTTTGAATGTCGGAGCAGCAAAACTGCTCGCAAAGAATGCTTTATTTACCCGGGTTGAAGTCGCAACATCATCGATTTTTCAGTGGTACCGCAATGATTGGTATTTTCTAGCACTGATTCATGTATATCATAGATTTTTGAATGTCTAAATGTGAGAAACTTCCGGGTAGCACCTATCTGATCAAAATTTTTATGGGTAAGTGGCGAAGAGATAACAGATACTCCTACTCACCTGAAGGTTGTGGGATTAAGTGCCATTAGCTTAGGTGCATTTTGGTTATTTTGAAAATTAAATGTCAGAGCAAAACTTATTGCTTATTAATCGCTAAGAACCGCTGTCTATTTATAGCTCTAACTCATTGCTAGTTTAGTGATTAGTATGGCATGGTAGTAGTCAAAAATTGCTTAATCATTTCTGGTAGTTACCCCCTTAAAGCACTTATTTTGTCTGGCAGACAAACCCGATTGCTCGTAAGTTTGTCTCGAGTATTTTTTCGAAAATTAATATTTTGATAAGGCTATAAACTATAAAATTTTGGATTTTTTTAACGAAATATTAACTCCCAATATCTTGAAATTTTTGAAGCCCAGGCTTCAGTTCACTTTGAGTCGATTTTGCTCTGAAACGATTTCGCTTACGAGTTGAGCTTATAGATGAATACTTAAAGGCGCGCATTAATTGGTCAAACAGTTGGGCCAAACTGGTTATTTCCGAACGCCTAAATAATTGGGAAAATCATTGCAGTTGAAATAGTTTTCTGAATTCTCACAAAATCAATGCCATCATGGCGGTGTGAAACAGTTTTTGCTCAATATTATGATTTTCATTGCTAAAACTGGTCTGAATAAAAAGACCAGTCCAAGCATAAACATTCCGTTACTTTCCTCAAAAAACAGATAAAATTTTCAGTTCTGTTAAATGTAGGGAATGTATCAAAGGTTGCGTCATGGCTGTTTAAGGATAGTCTTATCATTTGTTGTTTCCCATAATCTAAATTTAGTTATTTTAATGGGTTTTTTTCTGGAAGTTTTTTTTCTAACATGAAATAGCGTTTCATGGACGTGTCCTTACGGAACCTGTTTTTGTGGCATCCAACTTGTCTTTGTTCTGCCTCAAAAGAAACACCAGACTCCAAGGTTTCCCCTTAGCTTCGATGATCAAATTTAGACGCAGTCATTTACGGATTTTTGTTTTTGTTGCTACATGGCGCAATTTAAAATCCACTGTAACGAAAATGTGGTTGAAATAAAAAAAAATGTAATCCACGGAAATCAAACGTCCAAAAAAAAGTTGTCAAACAAAAACAATGATGCTATAGTTTTGCTAAATTAAAACCAATAAAAATTCTCAACTTCTCTTATCAAAAATCTTTGAAAAAAAGCAAAAGCCAATTGGGATGATGGGACACAATAAATGATCTGCCTAAGCCAAATTACCTAATCCAACCGTTGGGGAAATTTACAATTTGAGCGCCTTAATTCGATAATTACAACAGAGTCGAGGCCAGTTTGAACATTGCTGCCCGCACTGAAGTCCCGCACTCAGTAAAAAGAGAAAACGATAGATTATATTGGATTTTTATTGTAAGTCTCCATAAAATTCCAAAAGAATTGATATAATCGATTAAAAATGTATTATAATGTTACTATTTTGCAACACAAAAATAATCATTATAACCGATTATAATCGATTTTTATTGATTATAATCTATTTTTTTATGAACGTTTTTTTTTCTCAAATTTTATTGAATTATAATACATTATAATGGATTATAATCCATTATTATTCAACAAACGTCATCGCTTCATTTCGTTTTAGTTTTGTTTTGTTTCGTGTGCTTTTCAGTTGGTTACCGAACGAAAAGAAACTGTAGTTTTGTACTTATGGCCACCAGCGGATTTAGGGATTCGACCCCCTGCCGACCCAAAAGGTCTCCACATTCCCCCCCCCCCCCCACTATTTTGAGGTCACCCCACTATTTTTATATGTCCATTTTTGGCTTACTAGCCCTACAGTTTTTTTAACGGCGCCTAATATTTATTAATTTTGAGGGGGTGCTCGCCGGAAAAAAAACAATTTTTTGGTCTAATGTTTCCAAAAAGGGCCTAAAAACGCCTTTAAGCAAAGTAGTCTATTTTTATTTAATTCTGATCATTTATAATTGCGACTTTCGACAAATTTTTTTCGGCAAGTTCTTCTTTCATTAAGTTTTGCATGTTTAGCAGGTTTTTTAAACCTAATTGCAAGAAAGTTATTATATTTGTGTTTCAAGGACGTGTTTCGGGTCCAATCGAAGGTGGAGGCGAAGTCCGAAGAGGCTGCATCGGAATCTCAACAACAACCCGAGGCTACAACTGCACCTGTCTACAACAACAGCACCAGAAAAAAAGAAAGTAAAAGAGAAAAAAATCACAAAATGAAACCCTTGATTAGCTGAACAATTAGCTGTAAGCAATTTTCGGCAGAAAAAAAATTGATTTTCAGGGACTTCTGTAGCCTAAAAAAATCGATTATGCTGTCAAAATAATCGCTTATAATGGATTTTTAAACATTAAGAATAATCGATTATAACCTCCTAAAAATCCATTTTCATGGTTGGATGGGTCATAAAAATCGACTATACGGGTTAAAATTTGTGACGATTGAATCCATTATTATCAATTATTTCCCATGAAACTCCAGTGCGGATGGAACAAAAATATCAAAACTGCTCTTATCAGGGCAAAACTTTGAATTTTCAGACTGTTTTTGAACATCTTTGAAATAGTTATTGCTTAAAAAAGACGGAATAATCAAGAAAGAACAATTTTATTATTTCTGCATTTTTCTAAATCTTACCAAGCGCTATGTGAAGCACAAAATAACGTATCAATTTGACCACATATCTTGCCTCCATCAAAAATGCTTTCTCAGTCTTATGAAATTTCCGCTTACCGTTTGTAGAACGAAAAATGTCGCGCGTAAGCTGCCACAAATCGACATCTTTGGTTAATTTATATTTTGCAAAATTGATTGTTTGAGAATTTTATAAGATTTTGAGCTCAATTTTTTTAGACTGTACAAAAAAGACAGCAAAAACTAGAAATTGGAAGTTTGTCTGGAAAAAAATACCCGAGCTGAATATTCAATCATTTCATTGAATGTCGGAGCAGCAAAACTGCTCGCAAAGAATGCTTTATTTACCCGGGTTGAAGTCGCAACATCATCGATTTTTCAGTGGTACCGCAATGATCGGTATTTTCTAGCACTGATTCATGTATATCATAGATTTTTGAATGTCTAAATGTGAGAAACTTCCGGGTAGCACCTATCTGATCAAAATTTTTATGGGTAAGTGGCGAAGAGATAACAGATACTCCTACTCACCTGAAGGTTGTGGGATTAAGTGCCATTAGCTTAGGTGCATTTTGGTTATTTTGAAAATTAAATGTCAGAGCAAAACTTATTGCTTATTAATCGCTAAGAACCGCTGTCTATTTATAGCTCTAACTCATTGCTAGTTTAGTGATTAGTATGGCATGGTAGTAGTCAAAAATTGCTTAATCATTTCTGGTAGTTACCCCCTTAAAGCACTTATTTTGTCTGGCAGACAAACCCGATTGCTCGTAAGTTTGTCTCGAGTATTTTTTCGAAAATTAATATTTTGATAAGGCTATAAACTATAAAATTTTGGATTTTTTTAACGAAATATTAACTCCCAATATCTTGAAATTTTTGAAGCCCAGGCTTCAGTTCACTTTGAGTCGATTTTGCTCTGAAACGATTTCGCTTACGAGTTGAGCTTATAGATGAATACTTAAAGGCGCGCATTAATTGGTCAAACAGTTGGGCCAAACTGGTTATTTCCGAACGCCTAAATAATTGGGAAAATCATTGCAGTTGAAATAGTTTTCTGAATTCTCACAAAATCAATGCCATCATGGCGGTGTGAAACAGTTTTTGCTCAATATTATGATTTTCATTGCTAAAACTGGTCTGAATAAAAAGACCATTTCAAGCATAAACATTCCGTTACTTTCCCCAAAAAACAGATAAAATTTTCAGTTCTGTTAAATGCACGGAATGTATCAAAGGTTGCGTCATGGCTGCTTAAGGATAGTCTGATTATTTGTTGTTTCCCATAATCTAAATTTAGTTATTTTAATGGGTTTTTTTTCTGGAAGTTTTTTTCTAACATGAAATAGCGTTTCACGGACGTGTCCTTACGGAACCTGTTTTTGTGGCATCCAACTTGTCTTTGTTCTGCCTGAAAAGAAACACCAGACTCCAAGGTTTCCCCTTAGCTTCGATGATCAAAATTAGACGCAATCATTTACGGATTTTCGTTTTTGTTGCTACATAGCGCTATTTATAATCCACTGTAACAAAAATGTGGGTGAAATAAAAAAAATGTAATCCACGGAAATCAAACGTCCAAAAAAAAGTTGTCAAACAAAAACAATGATGCTATAGTTTTGCTAAATTAAAACCAATAAAAATTCTCAACTTTTCTTACTATGGCCCTGACTCTTCTGAACTTCTGCAATTAATTTGCTGCTTATTCTGCGAGTTAATCGGATGGAAGCTGCAATTTCTTTGCTTCAAATTCTAGATTTGACCAACTGGCACTTTTAAACGCCTGAGTAACTTTACCAAGAAAGACTTAGGGTGAAACAACTAAGATTAGAGCTCACGGCATTTTTTTAGTTATTAGGTCGAAATTATTTTTAAAATAAAACCGTTTAGATCAAAAAAGACGGAATACAAAATTGATGAATCATTTCGTTAATTATCGCTTGAACAAACAAAAAATAATAATTGGTAACAGGGGGGACTTACCGGGTGAAGTGCAGCAGAAACAGGGACAATTTTGGATAGGCACCAGGTTCTGGGAGATCTTACTAGTTAGTACAGCACCCAGAAGGTTCAGCACAATACACAGGCTGCTCAACAGGGCATAGAACGTTGTCTGAACAAAATCAACAAGAAGTTACTCATGATTAATTTCAGATTGACCGTCTTGTAAAAATAGATCACGGTGTTTGCAAAAAGTGGGATATTATGCCATTGGAACATGATTTAAGCACGCTTAATCATCAAAGAGAGAATGTTCAGTTGGTGTTATGGAGGATGCGGTTGCCATTTCTTATGGTTACCATAATGAACATTTGGTACTATTGTAAGCTACACTTTTTCTAAGAGTGCTTTCAGCACTACCCTTATTTACACTAACTGTGAAGGAGCGCGCGTGCGAGCAGAAAAAAAACGCAATAGAAAAACCCAATAATATAGAATTTTACTAAATAGTTTTGATACAGAATTGATCATGTTTAGTTTCCTTAGAGCAAAAAAAATCGAAAATTATGACAAGAAAAAAGCTTTCCCGTATTTACAAAAAAAAATTTATAGGAGGCTACTGTAAATGGGGTTGCTTTTAGTAACTTATTCATGACTTTGTTGAATTAAAAACAGATTTGTTCTGTTAATTATTTCTACTTTTCTTACCAATTCATCAAAATTAGAAACAAAAATAAATTTGTAAAAAACGCTTTTTATGCAAAGCTTTTTTCAAATTAAACATACCGTGAACATGGAGTTATGCTTCCAAGCAATGACACCCACAGCTCCACAAAGAAGTCCCTGAAAACCAAACAGCGTAAATTAGATCTTCATTATCGCAAAAAGAAACGAAGAACAAATTTTAAGAAAAAAAGAAAGAAAGAAGAAAACAAGAACTTATTTCTTCAAAATCACTCAATTGAAATTATTGTTTGTGCAAAAAACCAAACTGAAGTGGATCAACTGAAAACATAGTACACACCTATCGAGATTCTACCCGAACACATAATGATGACAAACTAGAACAAAAAAGAAAAAAAAGAAAAAAGAGAAAAAAAGTATTATAGTTTTTTAAATAAATATATCAAATTAATTAACTAAAAACCAAACAAAGTTTGTGTGTCATTGATTTACCGCGATTAATAAAATCAGATAATTTAGAACAAGTATTAAAAATCAATAAAAGTGATGGTGTTTTAAAAAAATTGTTTTAAAACTTACAAGTTTTAAAAATTTAAGAAAAAGAATAGTATCTCGAAAATAAGAATGATTTGGAGGTTAACTTTTTGGGCTGAAACTGCATCCATAGGAACCTGTTTTTTTATCCTTCCACCAATAAGTTCAAAAAACAACAAAATTTTTTGTAGATTGAATGAAAATAGAAGGTACTAAATCATTTTTTCTAGAATTTTGAACAACATTGGTTTCTTTTTTTTTGGGTCATATCGCCGTTTCTCCTGGAAACAGAATTGCCTGTGCTCAATTTTCATCAATTTTGTACCTCTATTAATTAGCAAGCGAAAAATTATTTTCACGACATGTTTAATTTTTGGAAATTCTGGTTCTATAAGCGAAAGTTTTTACATTCGAAAAATAAGAACTTGAGAAACAGTTTTGATGATTATCAAGCAAACTTGGGAAGCAAAACTTCCATAAATTGTACATGTAATTTTCATGCACCGTGAAGTTTTTGTTAACCGAAAACAATTGACGTAAGCTATCATACTTCATCTTGAAAAAAAACACGCTAACAAATTTTTGCTGCAACATAAATTTGGTTCAAAAGATAAACCTGGTTTCAAAAGAAAAACCGTATGGTTTTTTTGGTTGGATATTCGATTGATAGTGTTTGAGCAAAATAACGTTGAAACAAAATGATGCATTTTTGAAACAATGCCACGATGACATGACGCCATTGTTTCCTTCTAAATTTTTGAATATCGAATGAAAACGACGATTTATTATCTAGTATGACACCAAAATTTTTACAGAATAGTTCGAAAAATAAATGATATGAGCTAGATATACTTCAAAATTAGAAGCACTACCATGCCTTTCGGAAGTTTTAAAGTTGTTCCAATTGAGGTAAGTGTTGATTCATTGGCACATAATTTTTTGGAAGCATTGTTTTGTTTCCAAACAGATCAGATCACGAACATTTATATGCCACATTACTATAATCAGCATGACTAAAAATAGTTGTATCAATGGATGACCGAAACAGGACATCAATGTAAATAAGAAACAGAAACAATCCAAGAGCTGAGCCCTGCTGTACCCCTGTATTTACAGGCGATCAGCCAGAAGTTTGATTAATTATTTAAACGCACTGATATCTATTGAGCAAATGATACTGAGGCCATTCATAACAGTTTCAATGAAAAACAAAAAGTTGCATCCCGAGAGTTTTTGATCAAGCCTAATAAAGTTTTTATAAAAATCAACAAAAAAAAACAAGCGGTGATTTTTCCGTGAGTCCCCAAACGATTGCGCTCAGTTAATTCTGTTAGCATATCGATTGCCATTTTTTTTGCAGAATCGGTACTAACTATACTAGAGTAGGTCGAAATTATTACTAAAATAAACAAGCGAACTCTGTTTCAGCTGCTTAATGGAGATACCGACTGGTAATTATTAATATCTGATTTAGTATCAGTTTCAAGAAGCGGGAAACTTTAAGCCCTTTTAGGGTTTTACAAAAATCACGCAAGAAATGAAAAAAAACTTCCTAGGTTTAAATTTTCAACTTCAGATCCAAAGAAACATTTATTAATGAAGGAACAAAAATTAACAGCTTTTGTAGCAGAAAATTAGTTACTTCTTATTTCATCAATTCCGGTGGTTTGTTTGGGTTTTAAGCAAATTATAACATTAATTAACTCTTGAAAAACAAAAATTGAAAATGTATTTTGATTTATAAGTTTTTCCAAAACAAATTTGACCATGATGAGGAAGCAGACACCTTGCTATCATCGACAGATACAGCTGCAATAGGTGAAGTATTGAACTTTGTTGCTGAGATTTCAATTAAACATTTTACAGCAGTCTCGACTCTCCAATACAATTGATGAATCTTTTTTTTTAAATAATTGTTCAGGTAATAATTGTTTTTTTTCATGTTTGTTCATAAATTTTCTTCTAATCAAATTTTCGATTGTTCTTACTTTATTTTCAAGTTTTAAACAGAAAATTCCTCCGCAGAACAGAGTATTAATTTTTTATATTGAGCTCTGTTGCATTTGAGGTTTTTCCGGATCTAGGTAAGATATTTAATAATTCAATCAAGCATTCATTACAAACTTTGTGTCAATTTGTTTTGTTGACAAAATTTGAGACTTCAAAATTTTGTTCCAACTTAATTTAAAAATCATCCAATGTATTTTCTTCTTCATTAAAAAGTACAATTCACAATTTAATTGTCTTACAACATTTTCCCCAATAATCTTGGTTCTCAAACAGTAAGATGAAGATCGGCAAAGCATCCAAAAAAAAGCCCTTCGTTGTTAGGGCTTCCTATATTTGCTGTTTTTATATGATCTAAGAAATCATCAGATGACTCACTAATTCTTGGAGAGTTTTTGTGAGAATAATAAAGGCATTGGAAGTTACGATATAAAAATTAACTTGTTGTAGATTGTTGAACTTGAGAGTGCTGATTCAAAAACCTCTTTTTACTTCAACCGGCTTTTTATGTCAAGTAAGTTTTGCAAAACTTCACTCAATTTTTCAAAAGGGATTTTTTTCATAACACGGGGACTCGTGTGCTACTTCATCTAATTTTTTAAATCTATTTGTTTCTAGAAGGACTGAAATAGCTTCTCGTATTTTGCAATTCAATTGATCGATTAAAACGACGACTTCAATGCCCTACTTAACCATATTACCTCCTTTCTTGTTTTTTCATTATTTGTTTGTTTCTTATGGAACCCTTACAGCTTATACCTATTTTTTTGCCTATTCCAATCAGCAAAGTTTATCTTAGGCATAAAATTTTGACAAAAGAAACGAGACTACTAAAAAAATCTTCTGTATCATTATAATGCTTATAGAAAAAACGAACATCGAAGGAAAACATTTTTTAAAAAATCGATGGGAAACAACTCTAAAAATTTGAGTTGCATGATCATTCCAAGTCCATACAATCCATTAATTCGACAAATCTTGCTGTCAGCCTTCAGCTCATAGGTATTTGTCTCTTCTTCGGCCCGTGGCGAGATAATTTTTTTGTCCGTTTTCACCATTTTCAAAAATCGTACGAGTGGTTCACTCAAGTTCTGAAAATTTTCAATATTAGAATAGCCTTTCTCCTACAATTTCTCTCTTTTCTATATAACTTGTACTTAGCTTATGCGTCTGGTGTAGAAAGATTTTGATGAGTAACTGAGGTGTTTTTCTCGTCTTAGTGTTTGCATTGATGTTTTTTCAATGTTTTATATAAATCAACAAAAAAACTAACGGTGATTTTTCCGAAAGTTTCTAAGCGATTGCGCTAAGTTAATTCTGCTAGCACATCGATTGTCATTTTTTTTTTTGCAAAATCGATACTAACTAACATAGAGTAGGTCGAAATTGCCCAGCAAAATTTAACAAACAAACGAATTCTGCTTCAGCTGCTTAATGGAGATATCGGCTGGTAATTGTTAATATCTGATTTTGTATCAATTTCAAAAAGCGATAAGCTTTAAACCACTTTAAGACTTTACGGAAGCACGCCAGAATTGAAAAAAAGTGTTCCTAAGTATAGATTTTTAACTTAAGATCCAAAGAAAGATTTGTTAACGAAGGAGCAAAAATTTAACAGCTCTTTTAGCAGAAAATTGATTATTTCATCAATTCCGGTAGTTTGTTTGGGCTTTAAGCATAACGTAACATTAATTACCCCTCTAAAAAGAACAACTGCAAATTTATTTTGATTTAAAGAGTTTTCCAAAATCAAGTCTGAACTTGATGAGAAAACAGACACCCTGCTATCATCGACAGTTATAGCTCCAATACGTGAAGTATTGAACTTTCTTACAAGTTTTAAAAATTTAAGAAAAAGAATAGTATCTCGAAAATAAGAATGATTTGGAGGTTAACTTTTTGGGCTGAAACTGCATCCATAGGAACCTGTTTTTTTATCCTTCCACCAATAAGTTCAAAAAACAACAAAATTTTTTGTAGATTGAATGAAAATAGAAGGTACTAAATCATTTTTTCTAGATACAGAATTTTGAACAACATTGGTTTCTTTTTTTTTGGGTCATATCGCTGTTTCTCCTGTAAACAGAATTGCCTGTGCTCAATTTTCATCAATTTTTTACCTCTATTAATTAGCAAGCGAAAAATTATTTTCACGACATGTTTAATTTTTGGAAATTCTGGTTCTATAAGCGAAAGTTTTTACATTCGAAAAATAAGAACTTGAGAAACAGTTTTGATGATTATCAAGCAAACTTGGGAAGCAAAACTTCCATAAATTGTACATGTAATTTTCATGCACCGTGAAGTTTTTGTTAACCGAAAACAATTGACGTAAGCTATCATACTTCATCTTGAAAAAAAACACGCTAACAAATTTTTGCTGCAACATAAATTTGGTTCAAAAGATAAACCTGGTTTCAAAAGAAAAACCGTATGGTTTTTTTGGTTGGATATTCGATTGATAGTGTTTGAGCAAAATAACGTTGAAACAAAATGATGTATTTTTGAAACAATGCCACGATGACATGACGCCATTGTTTCCTTCTAAATTTTTGAATATCGAATGAAAACGACAATTTATTATCTAGTATGACACCAAAATTTTTACAGAATAGTTC